TGCCTGATCACTTCCAGTCAGGTGTACACACATTCTACAATCAGCCAGAGTGTGCAATGCGCCCCCCCCCCCCCCCCCCCCCCCCCCCCACTGATGTACCACACAAGCTTGTGGCAGCAAAAATATAGAGCACAGCTCCTGCAGAAAGGCTCCATGTTAGGATTGCCACCTCATCCCTTTAAACCCAAACACATTAATGACACGGCTCTGAGGCTAACTGAATGCAGATGAGACGCTACCACCTAATCAACCACAGAACCCGTGTCATTAATATGTGTTTGGTTTTAAAGGGATGAGGTGGCGACCCTAGTCCATGTTGTCTGGATATTTCCTGCCTGTTCACACCGCCCCCCACCCCCCTTTCCAACCAATTCCGACATTACAGAGCCAAGTGCAGGCCGCATTGTGACCAATCTCCAAGACAAGCGAGCGACAACTTCCCACTCATTACACAGATCAGATTGCGGCTTAGTCTTGGCTGGAGTTTTGCAGTCTTCATGTCACTCACACTGGAGGCGCTCCACCCGCTCTCTGGAGACTTCCCTGCAAAGAGAGAAGGAAGAACGTCAGACGAGTTGCGGTGGGATGGGAAGTCACATGACCCGGGGGTGGCGGGCCACTTTCGTGTCGCAGAGTCACAGTATTTATCAGAAATCTTCATTCTGTAAATAATATCGCTCTGCTTTCATCTCTCTGCTGGGCAATCGATGACAACACGGTGCAGCCATCATCTCCGTGGCAGCAGAGGAAGACGGGTGTCAGAGGAACATAGCACATCGGCTTGTCTGGGCTTTTCACAGCGATGTCTCGGCTTCCTCTATATTCTCTGCCTGCGACTCCGATCTCCCCGAGTACGGCAACACGGGGCACAGAAGAGGACGCAGACCAGGCCGCCATGGGCAAATAAAGCCAATAATAAACAGAGTTACACACACTACATACATACACGAATATACACGGCTCAAAAATTGAAAGGAAGACTATGTAATCTGAGTCTTGCATCAAGTCCATGACACTCCTGGGATAGTAATCTGGTCAGGGAAGTCGCAGAGGGGGTTGTTCATCAGTTTCAGCTGCTTTGGTGTTAATGAATGAAATGACTAAACAGGTGCACTAGATGGACAACAATGAGACGACCCCCAAAACAGGAATGGTTTTACAGGTGGAGGCCACTGACATTTTTCCCTACTCATCTTTTCTGACTTTTTTTCACTAGTTTTGCATTTGGCTAGGGTCAGTGTCACTACTGGTAGCATGAGGCCATACCTGGACCCTACAGAGGTTGTACAGGCAGTCCAACTCCTCCAGGATGGCACATCAATATGTACCACCATTGCCAGAAAGGTTTGTTGTGTCTCCCAGCACAGTCTCAAGCATGGAGGAGATTCCAGGAGACAGGCAGTTCCTCTAGGAGGGCTGGACAGGGCCGTGGAAGGTCCTTAACCCATCAGCAGGACCGGTATCTGCTCCTTTGTGCAAGGAGGAACAGGATGAGCCCTGCCAGAGCAATACAAAATGACCTCCAGCAGGCCACTGGTGTGAATGTCTCTGACCAAACAATCAGAAACAGTCTTCATGAGGGAGGCCTGAGGGCCAGACGTCCTCTAGTGGGCCCTGTGCTCACTGCCCGGCACCATAGAGCTGGATTGGCATTTGCCATTGAACCCCAGAATTGGCAGGTCCACCACTGGCACCCTGTGCTTCTCACAGATGAGAGCAGGTTCACCCTGAGCACATGTGACAGACATGAAAGGGTCTGGAGAAGCCGTGGAGAACGTTCTGCTGCCTGTAACATTGTTCAGCATGACTGTTTTGGTGGTGGGTTAGTGGTGGTCTGGGGAGGTACATCCATGGAGGGACACACAGACCCCTACAGGATAGACAATGGCCCCCTGACTGCCAGTAGGTATTGGAAATCCTTGGACCCATTGTCAGAACCTACACTGGTGCAGTGGGTCCTGGGCTCCTCCTGGTCCACGACAATGCCCGGCCTCGTGGGGAGAGTATGCAGGCAGTTCCTGGAGGATCCTAATTAAAAAGGTATGCGCTAATAACAAACTTATACAAAATGTGTATATCATCATCTAAAAAAAAAAAAAAAAAAAAACCATTTAGTGTTTAAAATAAATAATTATAGTGTCCAAACATAAATTAGTGTTCAAAAAATATATATATTAGTGTCCAAAAAAAAAAAAATAAAAATATAGATCTTCAGTGACTTGAACCAATTGTGAAAAATCCACCACCAAAAGGAGATTAAATGAACTCACCAGAGCTAATGGCTGGTCAGATTATAAACCAGCAACAGCGCTTGTGCTCTGGGAGCCATGACCCCGATGTCCAAATAGATATGGTGATGTTTCAGATACTTCCGGATAATAATAAATCACAAACCACTTTGCAGCCCAAGCTCCTATGATGAACTTCTCCACTCTCTCATACCTCCATGAGAGCATGCAGTACACTCAGGGACAAAAAAGAGAACATAATGGTGCAATACGTTTTTTCATTTATCTCTTTAATAAAAAAAGTATAAGGAAACTCACAAACAAGGTGTCCAACAGACAGCAGCTTCAATCGCAAAAAAAGAGGTGAGATACAATTACCGCTCACCGCGGATCTCTCCCATACAGCACAGAACAACAAGGCTCTCTAACGTCCACATCAAGTAGGCTACGCTCCAACCGGTTTCGTCACACCGACGTCATCAAGGGGCCTTGATGACGTCGGTGTGACGAAACCGGTTGGGCGTGGCCTACACGATGTGGACGTTAGAGAGCCTTGTTGTTCTGTGCTGTATGGGAGAGATCCGCGGTGAGCGGTAATTGTATCTCACCTTTTTTTGCGATTGAAGCTGCTGTCTGTTGGACACCTTGTTTGTGAGTTTCCTTATACTTTTTTTATTAAAGAGATAAATGAAAAAACGTATTGCACCATTATGTTCTCTTTTTTGTCCCTGAGTGTACTGCATGCTCTCATGGAGGTATGAGAGAGTGGAGAAGTTCATCATAGGAGCTTGGGCTGCAAAGTGGTTTGTGATTTATTATTATCCGGAAGTATCTGAAACATCACCATATCTATTTGGACATCGGGGTCATCGCTCCCAGAGCACAAGCGCTGTTGCTGGTTTATAATCTGACCAGCCATTAGCTCTGGTGAGTTCTTTAATCTCCTTTGGTGGTGGATTTTTCACAATTGGTTCAAGTCACTGAAGAACTATATATAATTTTTTTTGGACACAAATTTATGTTTGGACGCTATAATTATTTATTTAAAACACTAAATGTTTTTTTTTTAGATGATGATATACACCTTTGTATAAGTTTGTTATTAGCGCATACCTTTTTAATTAGGATTATTGTTGCCAAAATTTATTTTGGGTGGGATATGCTGCTGACACTTTGGGTTTTTTTTGTAAATGGCGCTTTTTTCTTTTTTAATTTAGTTCCTGGAGGATGAAGGAATTGATACTATTGAATGGCCCCCACGCTCTCCTGACCTAAATCCAATAGAACTCCTCTGGGATGTCATGTTTCGGTCCATCCAACGCCGCCAAGTTGCACCTCAGACTGTCCAGGAGCTCAGTGATGCCCTGGTCCAGATCTGGGAGGAAATCCTCCAGGACACCATCCGTGGTCTCATTAGGAGCCTCCCCCGACGTTGTCAGGCATGCATACAAGCACGTGGGGGCCACACAGACTACTGAGGACCATTCTGAGTTTCTGCAATGAAAATTTCAGTAAAATGGACTCGCCTGCTGCATCATTTCTTCACTTTGATTTTCGGGGTGTCTTTGAATTCAGTCCTCTGTAGGTCGATCATTTTCATTTCCATCAAACGATGGGGCGTCCTTACATTCCTCACCCATCCCCCGTCCATGTCAGGATAGAGATCCAGCAGGAGATTCCTCTCCATTGGGATCTGATGGGTTTTCAGTCTTCCTTTCATTGTTTTTGAGCCGTGTATAGATACACATTTTTAAAAAGAACACATCAAATTATATATAACAAGAGGATACAACTCACCCTGTACCAAGATGGCGGCCTCACGCCTCCACCACCGTCACCAACATGGCAGACTCTCCCCTTCCGGCTCTCGGCTAAAATACTGAGTTGAAGGACGAGAGCAGATACATAACATGTCCAAACCCCGCCCCCTCACGCCAACACGGCATTTTATTGGTTTACGATACATGAGGGAAAGCTCTTATTCAATGAGCGTCATTATCGTCAATTCCCCGCCTACACGTTCCAGCCAATGAGGCGCTCAGTATACGTTTTTTTTTTTTCCTCCCGCCCATATGTCGCAGCCAATAAGCTCGCAGTATACATCTACCACCCCCGCCCACACGTCTCAACCAATGAGGTGCGCAGCGTACCTCTTCTCCCAACCAATAGACGCGCAGAGTATGTCAATTCCCAGCCAATGAGGCGTGCAGAATAAGTCTAGTTCCGTCCCGGCGGTCATATGTCTCAGCCAATGAGGCGCGCAGCGTACATCTATTTCCAACCAATGGGCGCGCAAGGTATGTCCACTCCCAGCCAATGAGGAGTGCAGAAAAAATCTAGTTCCGCCTCTTCGTCTTGTCTGAGCCAATGAGGTGAGCAACGTACATCTATTTCCAACCAATGGACGCGCAGGGTATGTCTACTCCCAGCCAATGAGGCGTGCAGAAAAAAATCGGGTTCCGTCTCGTCCACATGTCTCAGCTAATGAGGCGCGCAACATACATCTATTCCTAACCAATGGGCGCGCAGGGTATGTCCATTTCCAGCCAATGAGGCGTACAGAATACGTCTAATTTCGCCCCGCCTACACGTTTCAGCCAATCCGGCGCGCAGTGTATGTCTATTCCTAGCCAATGAGACGCTCCATGTACGATTATTCCCCCGCCCACCCACAAGTCTTCGCCAATGAGGGAGCGCTATGGGCGGTGTTAGGGCGGCCGGGCCGAGTCTTGTGTGTGTGTCCGAGCGGTGATCGGTGTCACATCGGAGGAGATGAGCTGGTTGGTGTCCCGAGTGTCAGCGGTCCGGGTCCCGGCCGTCCTCCGCCTGCTGTGTAGCAGCTCCCGGGAGCACCTGGAGGGTCTGGTGAAGAAGGACAAGGTGGTGGTGTTCATGAAGGGGACCCCGGCGCAGCCGATGTGCGGCTTCAGCAACGCCGTGGTGCAGATCCTCCGCATGCACGGGGTGGAGGGCTACGCCGCCTACAATGTGCTGGAGGACCAGGACCTCCGACAGGGTGAGTGTGACCCCGGAGGGGGAGGGGCTCTAGAGGGCAACCGGAGGTCAAAGGGCATGTAAAGGGGGCCAGGGGTGACCTGGAGGGCATTTATAGGGCCAGAGGACCTCTTTAGGGGTCCAAAGTCACCCATAGGGGCTCTTGGGGGCCCACAGGGCATTTCTAAAGTCTATAAACCTTCTTAATGTCTTGTGACCCCCATGAGCCCCTGTGGGTGACACTGGCCCTATAAATGCCCTTATGAGCCACTATGGGCACCCCCGGTCCCTCTATAAATGCCCTTTGTGACCCCCTATAGATGCCCACTGTCCCTCATGGGCCCCTATAAATGCCCTCTAGGTCCCTATGGGTGGCCCTTGGCCCCCTATAGTTGCCCTCTGGCAACCCTATAGACCTTATAAATGCCCTGTGGCCCCCATCTGCCCCTATGGATGACTTTGGCTCCCTAAAGAGGTTCTCTGGCCCTATCAATGCCCTTATGAGCCCCTATAGACACCCTCTGTCCCCTATAAATGCCCTCTGGGCAAACCATGGCCCCTATAAATGCCCTCTTGGTCCCTATGGGTGGCCCTTGGCCCCCCATAGGTGCCCTCTGGGAATCACACGGGTATACCTGGGGCCACGTACAGGGGCCAGAGGGAGTCTATGGAATCACACGGGTAAACAAGGGCCACGTACAGGGGCCAGAGGGAGTCTATGGAATCACACAGGTAAACAAGGGCCACGTACAGGGGTCAGAGGGAGTCTGTGGAATCACACGGGTATACCTGGGGCCATGTACAGGGGTCAGAGGGAGTCTGTGGAATCACACGGGTATACCTGGGGCCACGTACAGGGGCCAGAGGGAGTCTGTGGAATCACACGGGTATACCAGGGGCCAGAGGGAGTCTATGGAATCACACGGGTATACCTGGGGCCATGTACAGGGGTCAGGTGGCATCTTTGGGGCCACAAAGGTGAAGCTGGGTCTATCAGACACCCAATGTGGTCGTTCAGTGTCTAGTCTGGATGTCTTCGGTTGGCCAGGTGTCCCGTTGGTTCCATGACATTGGGCAATACAAAGACTTGTTCCATTGGGGGAGGGGGATGTGCTATGAGCATTGGAGAGGAGCGAAGCCTCCAGATCTGTCATCTTCATCCTCCTCATCCTCCATGTTCAGATCCTTGTGAGTTTGGGGGATGGGGTGGAAGTGCTTGGTTGGGATGGGTTGGAAGTGTCCGGATGTGAAGTACACAAGGTCAATATTTTGCTATATTTGGAAGCTTTCAGGATCTCACGTTTCCTTAGAGAAGGAAGACCAACATCTGGAGGACAATGGCTCTACTCTTCCTGTGTTTATAATTCACCCCCCCCCCCCACACCCCCCCAGTTCATACATTCTGATTCCTTTCTGTTCAGCACTTTTTCTGAAGCTGTTGGGTTGGTTTGTTTATAATGGTATTTAGTCGTCTTTGTCCTTCATTATGGACAGGAAGATCTTCTTCTCAGACTCCACTACTGTCTAACATTGTGACCTTGTGTTGTGGTGAGCTTCGGGAGGTCCATGTTGAGACTCTGAGGCTTCTTGAACCCTTGTATCAGTGTTGATGGTCCTCCAGAGATAGTCAGATGTTCATTAGAGGTCAGAAGAAGAGGCCAACCAGTTGGCTTTGATGATGAGGTCTGGATTGGGTGACGGACTTGTGGTGTAAGACTGACAGAGGCAGGAGATGAGCGACTCCCAATTCAGTTGTCTTCGGACATAATGGCTGAAGTCTTGTCTCTGGTAACGTGAAGATACACATCTCAGCACTGCTGCCCTCCTTCTGGTATGTTGGAGATGTCCACTGCTGCTCCGCCTTCCCCCCACCCATCTCTGCCGTCTCCGCCCCCCCCCCACCCATCTCTGCCGTCTCCGCCCTCCCCCCCACCCATCTCTGCCGTCTCCGCCTCCCCCCCACCCATCTCTGCCGTCTCCGCCTCCCCCCCACCCATCTCTGCCGTCTCCGCCTCCCCCCCCACCCATCTCTGCCGTCTCCGCCTCCCCCCCCCACCCATCTCTGCCGTCTCCGCCTCCCCCCCATCCTGCTCCGCCTTCCCCCCCCCCCCCCCCCCCCCCCCCCCCCCCCCCCATCCTGCTCCGCCTTCCCCCCCCCCCATCCTGCTCCGCCTTCCCCCCCCCCCATCCTGCTCCGCCTTCCCCCCCCCCATCCTGCTCCGCCTTCCCCCCCCCCCATCCTGCTCCGCCTTCCCCCCCCCCCATCCTGCTCCGCCTTCCCTCCCCCCCATCCGGCTCCGCCTTCTGTCCCCCCATCCGTCTCTGCCTTCCGCCCCCCCCCCCATCCATCCATCTATCCATCTCAGCCCCCCCCCAGGAACTTTGCACAGGGATGGTGGGAACCCCTCATAATGGGCACAGCGGGTGTACAGACCCGGGAACTCAGCACAGGGATGGTGAGAATCTCTATTATTACAAAAAGACATGATTTGAAGCTCCAGCCACAGTTTGTTTCTGAGGGTTCTGATGGGGATTCCACACATACTTTCCTCCTTAGCCGATTACCCTCCCCCCCCATGTCTGCCGCCTTGCACCGCGCTGTCACATGTCGGGGCTCTGGGCTTACTCCTCCATGTGATCCTGCTCTGCTATCAATGGCTTCCTATAGGGCCGGTGACACGGGGTGTGTCGGGTGATTGTGCAATGTGTGTGATAACTATCTGGATGTGAACGGTGACTCGGCACTTATTATTCCTGACACAAGAAAAACACACAGCCTGGGGAATAACAAACTGCAAGAACACCTTTCTGTGCAACCCCCCCCCCCCCCGGGGGCCGGCCTGTGTCCCCCTTCTCTTGGTTAGATCACATGCGGTGATATTTGTATTGGGGGGGTTCAGACGTACTTCATAGTGTTGGGAGTCCGTTATGTACAGCTGTTTGTCATGTGACTTTCATGCCTGGGAGGGGTTTGGGTCTTTTAAATTAACAAACATGTCTGTACCTACCTGCTCTGTGTATTGGTTTTGCACAGAGCCGCCCCGAGGAGTGGATACAAAAGTAACCATGTGTCTCAATCCGAACAATCTATTGATCTCCAGGCCTGACTTTTCTAGACCATTTTTACTTTGTTCAGATACAAAGTAACATGGTTTATAAACATCGATCAGACTGGAGAGAGATACAAAGTAACATTGTTTGTAAACAACGATCAGACGGGAGATACACATTGACATTGTTTGTAAACATCGATCAGACGAGACATACACATTAACATTGTTTGTAAACATCGATCAGACGAGACATACACATTGACGTTGTTTGTAAACATCGATCAGACGAGACATACACATTGACGTTGTTTGTAAACATCGATCAGACGAGACATACACGTTGACGTTGTTTGTAAACATCGATCAGACGAGACATACACGTTGACGTTGTTTGTAAACATCGATCAGACGAGACATACACGTTGACGTTGTTTGTAAAGATCGATCAGACGGGAGATACACGTTGACGTTGTTTGTAAAGATCGATCAGACGAGACATACACGTTGACGTTGTTTGTAAAGATCGATCAGACGAGACATACACGTTGACGTTGTTTGTAAAGATCGATCAGACGAGACATACACGTTGACGTTGTTTGTAAACATCGATCAGACGGGAGATACACGTTGACGTTGTTTGTAAACATCGATCAGACGGGAGATTGACGTTGTTTGTAAACATCGATCAGACGGGAGATACACGTTGACGTTGTTTGTAAACATCGATCAGACGGGAGATACACGTTGACGTTGTTTGTAAACATCGATCAGACGAGACATACACGTTGACGTTGTTTGTAAACATCGATCAGACGAGAGATAGAGACAAAGGAACATTGTTTATAAACAGCGATTAGATGGGAGATAGAGAGATACAATGTTACTTTGTATCTCTCGTCTGATCGATGTTTCTAAACAATGTTACTTTGTAGCTGTATTTACTGTTTGAACGATGTTTATAAACCATGTGCCAGTCGGTTTGTTTTTTTATTACCAACAGGGTAATATGTTTTGGACCTTCTTTGTTTCTAACGTTTCTTCAGGTTTACTAAGTAATCCATTACAAAAAAAAACTTGTGAAAATGTGTTTGTGAAGCCACACCTAATAGAAGATGAGTTGTGATTGGTTGCTGTAGGCACTGCACTGTTAGCGTGCTTTTCCTGTGGGGGGGGGGGGGGGGGTCTCCTGGTGTTGGTCCAGAATATATCTCTACCTTCTAGTAACATTGTTTTTCTCATTCATCCTTTTAGGGGTGAAGAGTTTCTCCAACTGGCCCACCATCCCACAAGTCTTCCTGAACGGGGAGTTCGTCGGAGGCTGCGACATTCTTCTTCAGATGCACCAGAACGGAGACCTGGTGGAGGAACTGAAAAAGCTGGGCATTCGTTCTGCGCTGCTGGACGCCGAGTCGAGTCAGGAGAGGAAGTAGCGAGGAAAGCCGCGCTGTGTGGACTGTTTATCCAGAGCGAGGCCTGCGCACACCAGAGAAGCCTTATCACAATGAACTCTTGTACCTGTTCTGTATTGTCCGCCCCGGGTAATGGAAGATCTGTGAATGGGGCACCACCGAGCCACCTATCGCCGCCCTAGTGGATGTGTGCTGTGTAACGGGTGGCTCTCCATCCTTGTAATATAGTCAGATGATGACCACTGTTCTAGAGAGACACATTTATTATAGAATGTAACCTGATAATAAAATATTTACTTCCACAGAAGGCAGCTCCTCCGGTGTCCTCTTTTAACCACTTCCCGTCCGGCCCATGTACATAAACAGCCGAACGGGAGCAGTGCAGGAGCGGGTTGATGTTCATAAATGGCGCCTGTATTTTCAGGTTGTACGCGCTCCCTGGGATCACACAGTAAAGTGATCTGTTGCCTGCTGTGTCCGGAATGCCGATCGCTGTACGGGACCTCTGTGTGAGGTCCTGAACATGTGATCACTGATTGGCCAATCAGTGATCACATGAACAGTAGTAAGCAAGATGTCACTTCCTGACATCATTGCTTACTATGTGTGAATGATCACAGAGATCACATGGTACAGGGCTATTCACAACAGCCTTGTACCATGTGAGAAGCTGTGACCAATCACAGCTCAAAATTTCTCAATGGCTGCAGGAATGCAGCCAGAGAGAAGGAGAAATGATTGCTTTTACAGCCTTTATGGGTGTAAAAGCAATCAGTGTTAAAAAAAATCTTCACCCCCCCCCCCCACACAAGTAGTACAGTGTCACCATGGTGACCCTGTACTGCTAGGGTGACAGTATGTTAAAAACATAAAAAATAAAATAGAAATGTAAAAAAAAAAAAATTTGAAAAATTTTAATTTTTGGTTATAGACTAATTTGGGTTTTTTTTTTTTTTTTCTAAAAAAATAACTGAATAAATTTTGGCCGAGATTTATGAAGAAAGATTATTTATTTGCAAAATGTTATAAGAAAAACACTTTTTTTTTTTTTTTTTTTTTTTTTTCAAATTTTTTTGGACTTTTTTTCAATTATACAGCAAAACAAATTAAAATCCCAGTGCTGAATAAATACCACCAAAATAAAGTTTTTTCTGTCTCAAAAAAATGCTAAACAAGTCATATGGGTGCAGTGTTGCATGACAGCGCAATTGTCATTCCCCTTTGGGGCCATATCTTGTCTATATGCACCCTAGCCAGGGGTGTGGCAATAGCCATAGCAGCCCGTGGAACTACTAGGGGGCCTGGGCTGGGAGGGACCCCCTTTGGGGCCATATCTTGTCTATATGCACCCTAGCCAGGGGTGTGGAAATAGCCATCGCAGCCCTTGCACCTACTATGGGGCTTGGGGTGGGAAGGGACCCCATTTAAAAACAAGTTTCATCCACCTGTGGTTTAACAATAGTCAATGCAGCCCATACAGCTGCTCCATGGGTGGGGAGTGTTTTTATCCATCGAGAGATATGGGGCAGAACACGATTGCACTGCTTGGCTGGGAGACGGGACACTGAGACCTCTCCATGTCCCAGCAGATCCACCCCGAGCCGGACAGAGGAAGCTGGAAACAAAGAGGGGGGAGTATTTCCCAGCACTGTGTGTTCCATTGTCTGTATTATCCGGCGAGGCTCCGCCCACACGGCTGCGTCATTCATTCACAATCACCTACAAGTCCCGTGTGCCATGGCTTCCCAATGAACTGCAACCGCTCTCCTCAGCCCCCCCTGTAGTCTGTTGACACTTCCTGCAGCTGAGTAGGGCCCCTTTCCCACCTCTCCTGTGCGGGTTACCAGCGGTTTCCCATAGACTTCTATTTATATCCTGTGTTTTTTGGCGCGTTTTCATAAAGCCTACCAAAGATGCAGTGTGTAGGACCTTTTTGTGCGCATTCAGAAAATGTGCTGCGTAATACGTTGTAGAAGTCGATGAGAAGCCGTGGGTATGCTGCGCCGTGTCCAAACCGCAGTGCCGCAGTGTGACAGCGACTGTATGGGAAGAGAGCTGTCTGCAGGAGCCTGACCTTGCACCCCGCCCCCACTCTAATTTGAAAGGGGTGGATGGGGGGGACTGAGGACTCTGATGTGGAACTGGGTGCAGGGGGCCTAGGAATGTTGATGTGAAAGGGGACTGAGAAGTTTGATGTTAAAAGGGGTGCGGGGGGGGGAACCAAGGACTCTGTGAACGGGGGGGGGGGGGGGGGGGGGGCATCATGAGGGGGGACCGAGGACTCTGATTTGAAAGGGGGTGCAGGAGAACGAAGAGCTGTGAAAGGGGGGGCATGTGGGAGGACTGAGGAGTCTGATGTGAAAAGGGGGGCACTGAGTAGTCTGATGTTAAAGGGGGTGTGGGGGGGGGCAAAGACTCTGATGTGAAAGGGGGGGGGCATACTGGGAGACTGAGGAATCTGATGTTAAAAGGGGTGCAGGGGACCAAGACTGATGTGAGGGGGGAGGCATGTGGGGGGACTGAGGAGTCTGATGTTAAAGGGGGGGCGGAAGGACTAGGGACTGTGATGTGAAAGGTGGGGGCATGCAAGGGACTGAGGAGTATGATGTTAAAAGGGGGGGGGGAGTGAAGGGACTAAGGACTGTGATGTAAAATGGGGTGTTGGCATGTGGGGGGACTGAGGACTTTGATTTTAAAGGGGGGAGGTTTGAGAACTCTGATGTGAAGGGGGGGGGGGGGGTACTTCTGATGTGCTGGGAGACCCCATTTTAGATGGGGTGCCTCAAAATTTTACATCCTTTCAAAGTATGTCGTGAATAGAGCAGTTCAAGAAACATGGCTCTAGGTAGGGACCATCACACAGCGGTTTTTGAAATCCCCAGACCACCCCGTCTGCCTCCAACAACCACACCACGTTCAACGTCCCTTAAATCCCCTTTCTTCCCCATTCTGATGCTTGGTTTGAACTTCAGCCAGTTGTCTTCACCACATCTAGATGCCTAAGTTGCTGCCATGTGATTGGCTGATTAGCCATTTGTGTTCCCAAGCAATTGAACACGCAGAGCTAATAAAGTGGCTGGGGAGTGTATATGACCCTCTAATAATGGAGAAATCATAAACGGCATATGGTACAAGAATCCATGCCAGCTGCGTTTCCTCCGTACCTTCTCAAACCCGAACACTGGCTGGTCACTCATATAAATCCTCCCAGCCACAAATACTCAGGAAGAGATAAAAAAAAGCAATTATTTTGCACTTACTCCATTAGGGGGTAATTGTGCAATAAAAAAAAAAATCCAGCTGGTACAAAAACGAATTTCTGGGTCACTTCCGATTGCATGATGATGTCATCATGTAGTTCCGCTCTACGTGTTTAATTAAACGTCACGTCTTCCAGAGCTATACATTCACAGCTTGGATACAAAGTATTGAGAAATCAAATTGAAAATGTAAAAAAAAAGGGCCATCTTTTACTGAAAAGTGTTGGATTTTTCTGCCAGGTTCCGATGGGGCAATTTCAAGCCCATCTCCTTGCGGTCGAAAACGGCTATTTCCTGACAGATTCCATGTTTGGCCAGCTGCCCCTCCTCTTTCCTGCTGCTATCCCATAGGACCCCACTCCCATAAATTTTGGGGCTAATCTAGACCCAGGGGCGGACTGACCATTCGGGTACTCGGGCACTGCCCGAGGGCCCAGGGTCAGTAGGGGGCCCCATGAGATGCCCCTGGTACCTTTCATAGGCTTTTTTGGGTGTGGTTTGAGTGTGGGCATGCACACAGGGGTTCCATGATCCCCTATTGCCCCATGAGTTGTCAGCCTACCCCTGTCTAGACCACGTGTTCTTTTTTTGTCCTCCTTATGGTACCGATCAAGATGAGGTTTTCTTACCTTTGCTGGTAATATGATGGATGTCAGATGCTGGATCTCTGGCATGGTCATGAGTGGAGACATGTTGTTCCTATCAATGCATTGGTGTTCATGGCACATAGAAGATGAGGATCGGCGTTCCCGGCCATCTACAGGACCGTGTCACACCGTATTCCCAACTATTAGCAAGATGGTTCCAGGATGACACGGGATTCCCCAGGTATCAGCAGGGTGGTATCCATGGCACACATGCAATAAGGAGCATCTCCGAGAGTGTTCCCCACCATTGGCAGGACTATGTCTGATAGAATGGCCAGCTAACAGCAGGTGGTACAGAGTGTGCTAGCATGTGCATGGGTCGTCCTACAGGAGAGGTCCAGGAAGTGTGAGTATTTGGGGCGGATTACTGTTTTCTTTTTCTACTCTACAGATAACTGTTTCATCATGTCTTGTTTTTTAGCAGAGGAGACACCTTTCCAGGTCAAAGGTTAGAAGCAGATCCTCCAGGCCCTCTCCCCAGTTTTAGTGTTTCCTCCAAATGGAGATGTGTTGCCTACCTAGTCTCTAGGCTATCTCTAGGCTTGCCCTTTGAAGACCCCTCCTCTGTACAGGCAGGTGGAGGCCTGAGGCTCCTTTTTGGGGCATGGTGAAGGCCATGACTTGTGCTGCAGCACCCACTTGGTAGCTGGCCCTCGGCAGACGGTTCTGTGCTCCACTGTGTTGGTGCCGGGACATTGGGCCTCTTCCTTTGTTTCTGCACACTCTACTAGAGCCTTGGAGACCTCTTGGGCGGAGAAGGCTGATGCCACTCCTGAACAGATTTGAAAATCTGCTATGTGGTGAAGGTTTTCTACATTGCATACGTCATTTCCACCTGGACCTGTTATCAAGCCAGAATCAGACATTTGGCAGGAAAGTCCTCCAAGTCATCCTTCCCTAGGCTAGTAAGTTCTCACTTTTTCTCTCATGGGCTCTCCTCAGAGGCATAACTAGAATCTTCAGGGCCCGGTGCAAAAAAAAAAAATGAAGGTTTCCCCTGAACAGAGCCTAGGGCCCTTCTCTCCGAGCTTGATGCCCTTTACTCCCCACACGGGGCCCTTTATTATGGTCCTGTAGTGGGACCCTTCCTGCCCTTACATTAGAATCTCAGAGT